CGGGGTAGAGACTAGAGTTAGGGTTGTTTGCTTCTTCGCCTCCCTTAAGTGCACATGCCTGGGTTTTTGAAGTGTTACAAAAATACGGGAAAGTGCAGTGCATGCCAACCTTGCTGTCATCTTATCCTAAAGTTCTCACTTATAGGTTAGTTGTGGGATGATAAATGGGGCTTTATCATGTCCTAAGTTGCGGTCTTCCTCCAATCACTGATCAATAGATTTACGTCACAAGACTAGCAACAAATGATATGCTATTCAGGTATAAGCTAATACTAATAAGAAGCATGTTAGGACTGTGTTTCTTCCAGACTTCCACTGCATGATCTATCTGTCTTTGTTTGAATAGTTTTTATGTTTGCTAGTATGCAGAGGGTAAAATGGATTACTAGATCTTGGTCGGACTTATTAAATCCAGCATATGCAGTACCAAAATGATAGGTGATTCTTGTCAGTAAAATTGAATGCTTAAAAATTGTTTCTTGTTTGAGCTCTCTTGATGAACTTGCTACTATTTCACTTTTTAGATTTGTGATAGATAAAGCTGCTAATTGCTTTTGTCAGATTTAGACATTTCAATTGAATTTGATGGAGAAAGGGCTTGGTGTCATGGTGACAGGGTAGGAAATGAAAGTAAAGCACGTAAAGTGAAGATTTGAGACCTGTGTCAAACAAGTTGATTTGTTTTTTGTATTGGCCTGATGGATGCTCTTAAGTTCTTCTTCTATCATTTTGGTGACATGGCCATGGATATCGAAAAACAACAATTACAACACCCATACGAGTGTTGGATATGGTAGTTGATCGAGAATTGGTTGCCGGAACATAGTATAAGGTGTCCTTTAGATGTCTTGATGTGCATATGTGAAAAATTGGTGATTGTCTTTACAAGATTTCATATCCTTTGTTTCTTGCACGTAATGCAGATACTCGTAATGCAGATACTACAAGACTTTTAGGAGCGCGAAGATTTTATTTATCTTAGAAGAAGTGCTGTCATACACCTACCTTACAGTCCCAATTAGAAGAGTAATGATGCAAATATTCAGTAGATATTTAATTTTGTGGAGGAAATCTTCTGGTTATCAACTAATTGACAGTTTATATTGTTTGATAGGTGATCTACAGTGTAGTATGTGGAATGGTATTGATGGAAGTTATATCATTCAGTCTTACATTTTCTCCTTTTATAGCTGTTTGGTTTGCTGCAACAATAAGTTGCAGCAAACGTTGCAGCAGCAGATGTTGCATGCAACATTTATTGTAGGAAGTCAACTTTAAATTCAATGTTTGCATATATGCAATTATATAGGCAAAAGCTACAGAAAAACTGCAATATAAGAAAAGTTGGGTGTAGATGTTTTCTTATTTGGATCTAAACAGATTTTTTCGGTGAGGTGGAATTATATTAATTTAATTTTTTTTTTGAAGCATGCAGTTTTTCCTCCCACGAAATTAGCCGTGGCATTTGTTGCAAGTGATTTTTTTCTACAAAATACAATATATGTTCGAATCCCGCTGCTCTATTTATATTTGCAACTTTATTTCCATCTAAACAAACAGTAATACCTTTACCCAACAACAACCAAATTTGGTTTGTTATTGCGTAAGATCAATCCTGGGTCAAATTTGTCAGCAGATGATCAGGATGATTTGGCTCTTGGTTTATTTCTGGGTATTCACTTTCTAACCGTCCCTCCTTTTGTGTTTGATTTTTCCCTTAGCTTTGAATTCTTTTCTCCCCTTCTTAGCTTGGGAGGGAGTATATATATGTTGTTGAGAGTGGTTCCATGCTCAAGCTAGTCACTGCCTATTTGCCTGTTTCTCATATTGATATGGCTCAGATGACAAATTGAAAATTGAAAGTCATGTTCTATTCCGTTGTTCGATATTTATTGATGGATTCATATTTAGCTCTCTTGAAAGTTCTTTCGGTTGATTCGTATTTGTTGAAAAACACGGTTTTATTAAGGAAAAATGGCGGGGTTCATTCGTAGTGTTGAAGTTGATCTTTAAAAGCTATACATGCATTTTTATCAAATTTAGTAGGCGTAACAGCTTTTGTATAAACCTTTCACGCTGTAATATACCACGCTGATATGCGATAGATTGTTGTTTTGGTTTTCAATTGACATGTTGCGACGTCTTGAAAGTGAATCTTTGCGACGACTAAAATCGCTGTAAGGCGCAGACGCAAAGGGCGGCCGATGCTTATAAGCAAACGCCACCAACTTCTGATTTTGATCTATGAAATCAAAAGCATTCACTTCAACCTCCGGATGATCACTTAATGATATGAAAAAAAGAAGCTATCACAGGAGTCATGCACAAGGACCAGACAAGAACGAAATTAACAACAAAATACAGCAACCGTATTTTGTTGTGTCTATCCCCACAGTAGGCCTACAAGTTTGAGAAAGGTCCATATCACGTATTTTTCACGGCCAATAGTTGACATTGGACGAGGGTAATGATACAACAGACGAACAAAATTCAAATCTTTACAGACGACGGCACAGCTCGCTCACAGTGGCGTCTTTGCAGGAATACCGGGAAGACGAGGATACTTCTTGGGAGTTGCACAATTTTTCAAGCATATAACAGCGGTTCTTTGTCCGAGAGGCCCTTGCGATTCCACTAAACACAATAGAAAACCATCATTCAGCATGGACAACTCAACAATAGAAATTGCGAAAAACATTGCCTATGTGCTATCCTTGGGAACCTTTAAAAATTTCCCCCCATTACCGATAATTGTATCACATTTTATCGCTAATTTGTATAAATGATAACAAAAAAAAAATTCTCACTTTTAGTTACCTATACGATATCTATATGGACTAGGAGAAATATAAAATAAAACACGTCAAATAAGAACTTTCCTCATTATCGAAAAAGAAGGTATCATGTAGAACTTCAAATTTAGTTAATATTTTGAGAAAGAAAAAAGGCATCAAATTGTTTGATATATTAAAAATCCCACATCTTTCTATGTCCTTAATGGCATTGGGTTCTAGATTCACATGGGCGGCTGACTGACTTCAACTACATGGTGTCTGCTTTCATTAGCATGTCATGTGCTTAAACTACATGGTGTATACATTGATAAATTACGGCGTAATGTCCTCCTTTTTGGAAAACTGGCATGTTCATGTGTTTATATCTAAGTATTAGTCTTCTGTATCCAAAACATAACATACCAGAGCAAAGTTCCAATATGGAGGCACCCAGCAATTTTATTGCTTTCTCCGCACTCTTGACTTCTTCCTGTCCACACAAACAAAATACTAAATTAGGGAATATACCAAAATTTTGACATTTTTTTAATTTCTTTTTCAAATTTAAAGAAGATATCTAGCATAAAAAGTTATTTGGGCAAAACTTAAGCCAATCCCCGTTGAAGTATTAGGGAACACTCAACTTTCCCTCCTAAAGTATCAGTTTACTTATTTTCCATTTTATACTATATTTTTCACACAAAATTATGTGTATGAGCCCAATGTGGTCATTTTCTTAGCACCACAATCAAATATTTAACAGACTGATGAAATGACCGTGTTTTTTTGTAATTCAAAAAGTAATTTTTCAATTTCAAAAAGAGATAAAAGGGTAAAAAGCCTTAGGAGAAAGTAGATGAGAAAGTTTTGGGTTTGAGGAGAAAAGGGACAGACTGGTAAAAACCAATGACAAAATGTGAAAAAATTTAACCATGTCATTGTTCTGTTAATTATATGGTTATTGGCTCATAAAATCTTTTTTTTTTTGGTGGGGTGGGGGGGGGGGGGTAATAATTTAAGGGAAAAGGGAAGATAGGTAAATTGATACTTTAGAGGGGAAGTTGAGTGTTCACCTATACTTCAGGGGGGAGTTGATCATTTTGTCCAAAGTTATTCACTAAATCTAGATGAATGTTTCTGAAACATCGAAGTGGATATCAGTCAAATGCGTTATAAGTAAAAAGACTTGGACTTTTACTACATTATCTAGTCTTTTAAATTAGTAAACACGTACATCAAAATTTGTTACTACATACACTTGTTTGTAATGGAAGATGTTACAGGTCAATGCATTACTGCAAACATATTTAAAGGACTTTCTCCCTTATTAAAGTAGGAGAATGGGATTCTCCACCCTATTTTTGAAAAAATAAATAAATAAACTGATGCAGAGAAAACAAATAAAACATTTGATCGTGTATATACTAAACAGAACTAATACCTTACAAATAACGAGGATCAAGTCATAGGAAGATGAGACAATAAAAATCGAAAGTAGCTGGTACATATAATTCTCTTTTTCCTACATATCAAAATGATGAAGCGCGGAGTCAAGCCATGAAGACATAGAAACAAGCTGAAATCACCCTTTCTGACCAAACAAGACCTTGTTTACCAAGAAACAGGAGCAAGAAAAAAGTAATTAAATGCTAAAAATAAGGAGACAAAGTCTAGATTGCTTTATATATAATACTATTTTTTTTCAAAGAGAAGTTCATTTCTTATCTTCAATGAGGTTCTGCCGCAAGTTTTGGAGTACAGAAGGGAGGGGATCTAGATGATACCTAAAACCTGAATTGAAATATCAGTACTTAACATTACAAAGATTAATTAATATATTCAAAACAGCCAAATGTATCCTGATCTAAAATTTTTGGAAAAAGACTCAATGAAGGTGAAAAGTATTCATAAATGAAGATTTGGAGAGCCTCGTGTTTGCATTACAAAACAAGATCTTTGTGATTAAATTCATAAATCCACATTGGATACCAACTTTATAATTGAATACATAAATCTTGCTCGAGACTTTAGTAACATAGTTCAAAAGAAATTCAGGATGATCCAGTGTTAGAAGAGGTTCAAATTTTACCAAGTCATTAACCTACCAATAGAATCAACTTTGGAGTTATTACCCCTTCATCTTGATAGTTGATTTTCAGAATATCTCATTTCTATTTTCTTCGAAGATTATGTTATCTACATTACCATGAATATTGTTTAAGAAGTCCTCAACAACTGATTACGATGATATAAAGCAAAAACAATGTAAGCACTTTCGCTAGAGTGCTTTTTAAAATTTAAGAAGTTTGTATCACTCAATCAAATAAAAGTATGCAGATTGTGTAATTCACTAGTCAAGCAATAAGATAAAAATAAAAATAGCAAAGAGGAGGCAAAGTAAATGGGGAGCTCTTATGTAAGGATGGGAAAAGTTATACCTGAGGGTCATAGCCTTTTGCAGCTACAAACAAGCCACCAACACGAACCAATGGAAGACAGTACTCAGCTATAAAAAAAACTTAATATTAGAAAATGAAATTAAATATATATCGTTTGATGAAGTGCTATATGGCAGAACTTCAGTTACCTAATATTCTCATTTCAGCAACAGCTCTTGCTACTGCGACATCAAATGATTCTCTGAATTCAAGACATTGGCCTGCGTTCTGTCCTATAACAAGATTCCATTGAAGCACGAAGACAAGAAGTTTCAATTATGAACCTTACAAATGTACTGGAAAAAATAACAACAAAGAACTGAATGAAAATTATACTCACATACAAGTATTATAAAATTATACTCACAGACATGCATTAATTATGAATAATTCAATTATAATTCACAACAATGCTTCTGTAGTGCTCCTCATGGAGAAGTCTTTCTTGACTATCCAACGAGTGGAAAAAATGCAGGGTAACCATTCACATATTCTCAAAGGCCCAGTTGAGAAGCTTTATATGTACATAATCTTCACACACATTCTGTGTGTTTGGGGCGTTTTAGCTTGCTTGTGCACCAAGTACAGTGCTCTACACATAACTGAATGGTTATCAAGGATTTAATGCTAAACTTATATAACATGTTCCCATAAGTTTTGGTCATATTTAAAATTCAGTTAACATTAAGTGGTAATGTCAAAATAGGTGCTAGCAAAATATGACAATTAGGAAATAATCTCAGAATAAAAATGCTTCACAGACATAAGGAAAAATATTTACCTCTGCTCTTTCACGTAAGATTTCCACATTTGACAATCCAATGAGGTCAACCACATGCTCTAAGTATAAGCACCGCTTTTGCATTGATTCCAAAAGTGTAATTTTCCAGCCTAAGAAGAAAAACAATGTTGAGTTTGCTGAAGTCAAAAATCTTGAAGAAATCCAGAAAAGAAATACGCCCAGCTTCTGCAAGCATTTATAAGAAATATTATTGACTTAGTAAAGGTTATTGAGGAAAAATCTTCTTTTTAATCTCTGTTAAATGCAAAGGATTAGTACAAAATGAATCCAGCTCGCTTTTTTTGCCTAAGCACAAAAAAGAGATAAATTTATAAGTGCAATAAACACTATGTAACTAAAATAATTATAAACTATGAAACCCACAAATTTTCTAGCCAAATATTAGAAGTTTTTCCTACACCAAACAATCAATTACAAATACAAGCACAACAAAGACTTAAACCTACCGCACACTACAAATCGACAATCCCTCTATCTGTTCCATTTTGGGACAAAATCATCTTCAGGACTTCAACTAGTCCCTTGCCTACCTTTGATTGGATGCAAGTGCAACAACTTCAAGCCAACAGTCTCACTTCCACAAATATCGATACAATCATAAAGAACAGACCTTTATTCTTTCTTCCATCATAACAACTTGGATAGAATTCTCCAGTACTCTCCCTCAAACAAACTTCCCAATGCACATTTAGGAGGGCACCGTGTAAACTAGAAACCGATTACGCTAGGGACTGTTTGCTTCCCTGCAATTATAGTTGTTATAATTGGTTGCACTTATAGTTGCAGCTTTTAAGTTCATTTTTAAAATTTCATCTTATTTGTAGGTTGTGTACAATTTAAATCCCATTTGCAGCTCGAAAAAGTTGCAACTTCCACTTACATCCAGATGCGCATAAGTTGTCTGCTGCATTTGCATTTACAGTCGCAACCACAATTATCAGTTACCAACGAAATAAACAACAGAAATTTGTAATAATGCACTTAAAATCTCTAAAATCGCAGCAAACCAAAACACGGACATTTACAGATTCTATATCAAGAACTCACTTGGACAGGCGATGGCGAAGATCAATCCGGGGAGCCCAGCACCAGACCCAACATCAACAAGATTGAGACTCGGGGCATCTTCATCATCATCAGCTCTACTTCTGCAATGAGACGCATAAGACCTCTTGAGAGGAGAAATCAGGGCAAGAGAGTCCTCCACGTGCCTCGTCATCACCTCGCCCTCCTCCGTCACCGCCGTCAGGTTCATCCTCTACAAAAACCCAACAAAACCCATCAATCATTCGACTGGAAAAGGCCAAAAAAGGTAAAAAGGAGGGATTTTGAGGGGGGTGGGGGCTGGGTTTGGGGATTTTGGGGAACCTGGTTCCATTGGAGGAGGGTGCGGACGTAGAGGGAGATTTGGTCGGTTTGAGCTGGGGTTAGGGTTAGGGTTTGGGGATTTGATGATGAGAAAGAGGCTGCTGCTGCTGCTGCTGTTACTGTTCTTGCCCTTGGGATTTTGGAGAGGTTGAAGAAGGGGAAATGGAGGACAGCGGCAGATGACGCCATTTGTTTGCACCAAAGGCTCATGGTTAACCTGCTGGGCTGGCTGGCTTTGTTTGCGTCAAAGAAATCTTACAAGGTTTTATTTTTATTTTTTATTTTTTTTGGGAAAATAGGGCAATTATACAAAAATAACCTTCAAAAAGATGCGCGTATATTCAAAATAGGGTTAATTTTAGAAAACAAACCCCTCAACTTCGTGGCTTGTCTCGGAAAAACCTCCTCAGCTATTTTATCTTTGGAACCCCCTCAAATCCGAGGGTGTTGTAGATAACCCTTCTCAACTTTCACAATGTGGCTAAACTCCCCTTAACTATGTGGTGTCTCACAACCACCCTCCACCATCTTTCTAGTTTTTTCAAGTAACACCCATAATATTATTAATTTAAAATATGCAACGACTAAAATACGCTTGGTTAAAAAAATATTCATGTGAGTTAAAAAACCCAACCCAACCGAAATATTAGACTTCGGTTTGATGGGTTTTGATGAGGTAACCAATCTTCAAAATTTTTTTAAAAAATTTCAATTCTTTTAAACATTGCAAGCGTGGCTAAGTAGAAAATAATAGAAGTTTAGTGTTTTCAAAAATGAAAGAAAAAAATAAATTTGCACGTAAACCTAGCAATGAAGATGGATGAATAAGAAGAGGGGGGAAATAAAATGAAAGTTATTTTTAACAAAAAAAAGTTAAAAAGAACACTATGGTAAAAAAAAATTTTAATGCCTTACGGATAGTATGGTCATTTTAAATCATTTGTTTCTTTAGATTTAAATTATATTAGTTTATAGGGTTAAGTGAGAAAAGTGGAGGGGACATAAATAATATTTTGAAAGTTAAGGGGGGTTAGGTACAACAACTCTGTATTTGAGGGGGTTTTATAGAGTTAAAATAGTTGACGGGCTATGTGAGATGATCCTCATAGTTGAGGAGGGTTTTCTAAAATTAACCCTTTAAAATACGTGACTTGTATACTTACTAAATCTAAACATCTAAACATTAACAAAGTAAATCACGTGCCTTGAGTGAGTTTGTCTTAAGAACATTAGTTGGTTTTTAGTGAAACTTTTGACTAGGTGATAATTAATTTGAATAAAAACCCACATCGATAGTTGACTGGAAAAGTTTGATTGGGAGTAGGGCTAGCCAGCTCGTGGCTCGTAGGGGGACTAGCGGGCCATCTTTGACTACTTGTTTTTGAGCCTAGGTCTTGATCCAAGCCAGGATAAGTGAGATGGGCCATAGCATTAGTCGGCCCTTACTATTTTTTGCTTTTGTATTTCTATAAATTTTGTAATAATTTTCTAAGTATTGTTTAACACTTGAAAGCTACAAGTAAGTAACAAACTAATGATCTAACTATTACAAGAAAAGGAAAAAAAAAAATTATTGAGTAACTTGTATATTTGTGTACATTGACAGGGAAAAATCGCAAACGAACAGCTTTAACACTGTTTAGAGCAAGTTCTATGTCCACGAGCAATAAGTAATTGCTCCAATAGTTTAAAAAATACAAAAACAAAAGAAATTATAGCAAAATGTAATAAACATATTGGTATAGTAAAAAAGAAAACTTAATTTGGATGAATCCATGATTGTTGTAGTGAGCCAGTCCGTCCACATATAGGCCTAACTCGCTCGGTGGGCTTCGTGGATCGGGTGAACTATTGCCCAGATATATTGGGGGACAACTCATCCAAACGTGTGGTTTGCTATTGTAGCAGATCGAATCTAACCCATCCCCAATCTAACCGCGTCAAGCCCACTGTAGAGGGAGAGGGGGTGTGACCGGAGGTGTGGCAGAGGGTGTGCCTGTAGTGTTTTTCTTTGCGTTATGGAGTTGAACGGAGGCGAGTTCCACTTGGACCGAGCATTAAAAAAACAATTTCTTTTCTTTTTAAATTCACATAATTAAGTTTTAATAAATAAGTGATTGTGAAGTTCCAACCTCCAAGTGGGAAAAGAGAAGACAAATGAGAAAAGATTCAAGTGTAAAATTAATAGAAAATTCATGGTGTCTTAGTGCAATTTAGACATTAAAAAAAGTTCATTATTTTTTCAAGGGATATGTCCGTGTTTACTATTTTGAGTACCCTATACCTTTTAAAACCAAAAAATTAATGAGCATTAATGCTTGAATGGAAAATAAAAATCACGTGGCTAGCTCATAGATAAAATTTCCTATAAAAAGAAGGGGATTAATTTTTCTTTTAAAGGAAGCTTTCCCCAAAAAATGATAATTGTTTTACGTCCCTTACGTCTCAACAGTCGTGCGCATGCCTGTTATTTCTGAATAGCACATGGAAATATATTCATGAATACACATGGAAATATATATATATATTATACTTATATATATATAGTATATATATATATAGTATATATATCATAGCTAAGTATATAATATATAATATCTATATATTAATATAGAGTATTGAGAAAAATGGGTATCGACTTCAGTACCCAAGCATGACATCCATTTTTTGGCTTGGTAAGTGATGTGTCACTATCCTCATCGCACTCCACCTAAACCCATGGTGAATGTGGTCCCACCATATTTGAATGAGTGCGAGGGGGAATGTGAACATCCACTAAAACCGAAGGCACCGAACTTTTTGTGCATAAAACATTTTGAAGGACTCACAATCATGAGATCTATAACTATCAACATTATAATGTTTGAATACTTTCTTTTCTGTACCTAAAGATATTTTTATTAAATCCTTATTAATGAAGTCTAGTGATCATATACCCATTGGTAGACTTAAAAAAAAAAGTTAAGACAATTCTTCTATCAACAACACTATCTTCTTCTTCGTCCAAAGTCTTCGATATAGAAGGAATTAAAGAAAGGGCAAGATCATTTTAGGCTCAAAATCTTTTTATATATGGACTAAATCTTCTAGATATGCAAAAATATATGTTAAAGAGTCATTTAAGTGGCAAGTAAGAAAATTCAGAAAATTCTTCAATACGCATCATAACTCACTAAATCTGCAAAATATTTGCCTAAGTATATGCTATGAAGCAATATTTTCTCTATAGATTGGTATAATGGTCAATTGGGTTTTTATATCCGATTCATTAATAATTGCTAGCATGGTAATAATATTTGCTCATGAGAAGTTATGTACGTAAACAAATCAACCCATACATGAACTTGCCGTCTATATAAACTTTGACTTCATAAACCTAGTGTATCCCATACCTTTTTCTCTACCTTCTCATTGATAATTAACATGGTGAATTTTTTTTTCCAACATATGATATAGTTTTTTGTTTTTTTTTCTTTATTTTTTTTGGTTTTCTATAATGAGATAAAGTTTTTATTTATCATGCAGGGGAATGGAGTAGTAATTTTTGGGCTATGGGTGGCTGCAATATTGAGTTTGGTTTCTGCCCGCAATTCTATCTACAACGTTGCCGACTATGGCGCCGTTGGCAATGGTCAAAGAGATGATACGCAAGTAAGTCAGTAATTAATCAAGTTTTATTCATTGATATAATTAACTTGCACCTCCCATTTCTTAATCCAAGAGAAAAAAAAAAGATGTAACCTTTTATATGTCCTAATTCTTTTCTAGTCCTTTTTAAATTTGTGTCCAATTCAACTTTCGGTTAAATTTGTTTCCAATATACGAAACATGAGTCTTTGATTCACGCATTTTACTAATGAAATGTAAATTTATGATACTCATGTATAGCTATAGGCCCTTGTATCAAGCTATGTTATGTAGCCATTTTCTAGATTATGCTCTATCAGTGTCAAAGTCTCTTTCACTATATCAAAATTTCATGGATTATAATTCTTCGATAATTCGGGAAGATGAACGAAAATTAATAGAGGAAAAAAAAATACAGTTATACGCCCCTTGTAGTTTTTCTACCTATCTAAAAAAAGATTGATTGAAAATTTTTGTGTTTTGATTGTGAAGGCATTCCTAAAGGCATGGGGAGCGGCTTGTGCAGATTCTTACTATCCAACTTTCCTCATTCCATCAGGAAAAGGTAGAACATTCCTCTTGAGTCAGATAACCTTTTCTGGACCCTGCAAGTCCAACGTACATGTACAGGTAAGAACACTACTTTAAATATAACGGATATGAGGTGACAATTTATTTTACTAACCGTGCTGTTAAGAGATCGACTAGTAACGAGATCCAACTTTCTAGTCATCTCGGAGCATGTTGCTTTTCCTCGTTCATTTTGCTAAATAAGATGACAGCTCCAAAAACTATTTTGCATCTGTATCAAAGCAAATGTAACTCATCATCCTATTTTTTGACATGGTATTTTGCTCAATTAGATGACGATTCGTACCTTACCTCATGTATATATAAGAAAGAAAAAAGGTATGAGTTGTGAGGCTCATCCTGCTAGTCACATTACCGTAGATAAAGCTCGTCGGTCCTTTTCCTTCATATTTTCTATTGGAAAAGAAAAGAAATATGTGACTCTTAAGAAAATGAGAAGTGTTTTGTAGGTTAGTGGAAACTTGGTAGCACCAAACAAGTTGTGGACTAAGAAGCCAGAGACATGGATAGTGTTCATCAACATAGAAGGGCTCACGGTGGATGGTCACGGTCAGATTGATGGCCAAGGTGCCATTTGGTGGCCTTGCATCACTAAACATGTATGAAAATTTTCCTCTTTTTTTTTTTTAAACTTGCATTTATTTACTTTTTATTGTCCTTTTACATGATATTTGATCTAACCATTTTATGGTTGGTTTATTTATGTTTTCAGATATGCTCTGGGGCACCTTATGTAAGTCTATATTTTTTGCATGTCCTGAATTATCATATAGGGGGTGTATCCACAATTACCCCTCTGTAAATGGATTCTTTATAATTGCCTAAAATCTGATAAAAATAATTTTTTTTCTTTTTATTATTATATATCATCAGATAATGCAGTTTTTGGGGTGTACGGGCCTAAAACTGAGCGGCATCTACCTCAAGAACAGTCCTGGGAAGCATCTTGCAATATACAAGAGTGACTGGACGACGATAAAGGGGCTTACTATAACGGCCCCTGGCGATAGTCCAAACACTGACGGCATCCTCATCGCGGAGTCTAATCATGTACACGTATATTCGTCGAACATTGGAGTGGGTACGTGACATATATGCATACCCGCGGCTCGACATAGTTCTATTGGTTATTATCACGTTGAACCGCTGCATATCGTTGTATCGAACTTACTATCCCAGCGTTTCGTTGTTGCAGATAGCCCCCCCTGGATTAGTTTTTCTTGGACCTTTTTGTCTAGTGGAATTTTGGTAGACATTTCCCATAGGTGAGACTAGCGAGTCCATCTGAGGGTAAAAGAGTCAAGAAAAATTTAACCCCGGCCAGGGGCCTATCTGCAACAGTGAAGCTACGAGGATGAACGATTCTACAGAGGTCTTTCCACAATCAGCCCCTTTTTAACTTTCATATAAAAGATTGAGAGAATGTGTTATTACAGGAGATGATTGCGTTGCCATAGGATCGGGCTGCTATGATGTTAATATAAGCTCCGTTACATGTGGGCCTGGTCATGGCATAAGGTTTGCTACAATATCCTCTATAAATAAAACATGTTTAAAATTTTCACCACAAAAAGTAAGGATTAGTTGCAGATAGACCCCCATGTGCTATCATCTAATTGCAAATAGACCCTCTGTAGTTCTATTGAGTCGACTTTTTTTTTTTTGCTCTTCTCAGTATTGGAAGTCTTGGAGCCAACTCTAAGGTTGAAAAGGTTCGCGTCTCCGGCTGTAATATTTTTCAGACTACAGTAGGTGTCAGGATCAAAACATGGCAGGTAGTTACATTTGTCTAATTTTTTTACTTAAGATATTCTTTTGGACTAACTGCGAATTAACATTAACTGATTATAATTTTGTACAGGGTGGATCTGGTTATGCCAAAAATATATTGTATGAGCACATCGTCTTCAATTCAGTAAGGTCTCCGATATTAATCGATCAATACTACTGTCCACAAGGAAACTGCGCTAATAAGGTAAACATTCAATAGAAGGAACAAATTTGTAATATATTTAACAAAAAGGGCTAATTATAGTTTAATCCTCTGTATTGGGATGGAATCACCTACATTAATGCTGCACAAATTTTCCTGTTAGGTTGAGATATAACGTGGACAATTTGTGATAATGGAATTAACTTTTTGCCCTCAATATATGCAGACGAAAATTTAGTTTTTCAGTTAAACTGCGAAAAAAACATAACAATTTACCGTCATCTAATTCTCACCTGACATCTCAAAGATGCATAAGTATCGAATCTCTATGGTATAGAGAATGTGTACAAATTAATCATAACAAAAATGACATGAAAAATCTATTGACGATTTCTATATTTTCCGTGTGAAAGACATCTGCAGTGGCCATAAGCGACGTCACATACAATGATCTACACGGGACTTCAGTGGATCCAGTGGCGATCAAAATAGCGTGTAGCGAGAGCATGAAGTGCGACCGTGTGGTACTGAACGATGTTAGTTTTAGTTTTGAGGGTTCCCAAGCGCCGATGCAATCTTATTGCCTCAATGCCTACGGTAAAATGTATGGAAAAGTTGTCCCTGAAGTTCCTTGCCTCAAGTGGTAGAAGAAGATTCATAGAGATGTATTTTTTTGTCTTTATGAAATTATCCACTGTCAATTTAGTTCAGGTAGTTAGATTGTTGATAATTTAAGTTTGGAGTTTTGGGAGAATAACTGTAAGCTAAAATTTTGCAAGGACTGCTGTACTTTTATAAAGCTTAATATTCACTTGATGTCCCTGGAAAATGCCTGTTTTCTGATTTGAAATGGATAACTCATGTCCACATGTTCATGGGTGTAAATTTTATCCAACTTTATATCAGTTATTTGATAAATAAGGCCAACTAATATCCATATGTTTATCATACTAACCCAAATCCAAAAATATATGAACATGTTGAGCCACATATTAATAAAAATCAATTTAGCATTACCTTTAGACTCAGTTTCCATGAACGGCTTCCTCCATATCCAAGGATAAACCAGTTTGAGTAATGGATAGTGAGCTCAACATCAAAATATATAGTATCCTCAAATATCGAGCACAAAAGTTTGATGTCTCAATAATAGGAATGTTTGAGATCCTGGTACCTGAGTATCATCTCCATCATCAGATCATTCCAAGCATCGATTGCACCAGGCAAAAACCAATGCAAACAATCGTGACTGTGATCACCTTTTACTAGTGTTGTCAATGCGCGAGGCGCAATGCCGGCCGCAAAGCATCTTTACGCACACATGCGCGAGGCGTAACGCGATGTGCGCGCTCGAGTGATGCGAGGCGCACAACACACACATAATTTTTCAAGATATATAATCAAGCACGAATGAACATGTTTAGGAATTCACATAAAAAATATGTCAGGATAGATAATATCTTATTACAACATCATAGTATAAGGTATTAATTTCTAATGCTAACAGCCACCATAGTAGCAAAACTCATAAATTCTCAAATTAAATGTCAAATCAAGACTAATATCCAAGCAAAGGATTAGTTTTGGTCCTCAATTGAAGACCACTAAAAAGGCTTTATGGATTTATTTTGCTTTTTGGGATATGGATTATCGAGTATAAATACTCGATCGAAATGTTAACAAACAAAACTGTATGGAGGTATGTACTACATGCACCCTGAGCAAAGTCAGGATGTATGCGAGGCGCAAAAGGCCCTACTGCATCAGATGCGGGGTGCTTCGCCACCGCCCCGCATTGCAAGGCGCATGAGGCGCAGTGAGGCGCGCATCTTTGAAAACACTGCCTTTTACCGCTCTATATTTACCTGGATGCCCATCTGGTCGAACCAACTAAAGATGGTAAACATCCAGCATTTTCAAACGAGTCGAGTTCATACTGCTCTTTGCAAATACCCCTCTACAACCTTTACAAGTTGATCTTGGTCATAACCTTCAACCTCGCCTTCTATAAATGGCAATGTCATATTGCAATACCCTCCAGTATTCCAAGTACCATTTTCAAAGTGATTGGGAGTGTGAGTTCTATAAACCACTAGTGGCTTGTGCTCAGATGCAATGATATGTTGAAATGCCAACTCCATAGCTTTTTGGTAAGGAATAGCTGACCCTATTTCAGGCACATTCTCCAGTTTACAGTCAATGCAACCAACAATAGTGTTGTTCTCCCACAACATAATATTGGGACGTTGGAACCATGAGACTGTACCAATTACACCAGTACAAAACTGATCTGCCCAAACGGTTCTTGTAACCGTTTTGGGCAAGTGAACACATCCCAAAACATAACCCAAACGGTTACAACCGTTTGGACAAGAAGGAGTTTCCAAACGCGATATTACCCAAACGGGTTAAGCCGTTTGGGTTCTTTATTAATTTTTTTTTTGGTAAATAACTTTTGTTTGGCTACCAAGGTGTTTTTGTTGTTGTGCTTTTCAAGCAAAACACATTGGTGTTTTGTTTTTCCTCCCAAGTGTTTTGAAAACTACTACTGAAAATTACCAACAATTTCATAAATTCAGAAAAAAAGAAAAAATTGATCATGAGTTGAGAATGATTACAGTGGGTTGAGAATGGAGGAGATCGCCACAAAGAACCCCATTCAGAATCATAATACACTAATTCCTCCAACAAAGAACCCATTTTTCTTAAAGTATCCTTCTATGAACTGGCTTCAGACCGTCCCTAACATCCGACAGCGCTCGCCCAAGCAGCACCGACATCGCGTACGCCACGTACGCCTCCGTCGCCTCTTTGTGGAGCTCGGCCGACACGATTCTCCCATCACCGACCCTACCACTCTTCTCCTTCAACAACAAACCCCCATTCTCCCCACCTTCTCCCTTATCCACGACTGGCTCTTCGTTACTCCTGCGCTTCGATGATCGAACTCGAAGCGATTTTTAGGGTTTGGCGAGTAGAAGCGGAGGCTGTTGGGGGTTGAGATGACGGCGAGGAGGGGAATCGAGAGGCGGGAACGGAGGAGAGAGGAGACAATGAAGCGGAGCTTTGATGAGAGCGCCATTTCGAAAGCCCTAGAAAATTTGGGGGAAATGAAAACGACGGACCTCAAACACCTTTTTCTTGTTTTGAAAAACCCGTTTAAAGTTTGAGATGGTTGGGGTTTTGGACATAAAAACAGAACGTTCCCAAACGCGTTTTTTTTTTTTTTATAAAACAAAACGGAAACGTGACAAACGCAATGTATTCCCAAACCCGTTTAAAATTTCCCCCAATCTAAAATCCCGCGCGCGCCCTCTAAAATCCCTAACCCAAAATCGGAAAAATCCCCTCAGATCCCTCATCATCATCGTCGTCCTCTCCATCCTCTCTAAGAACCGCCTCGTCTTCACCATCATCGTCCTCTCCATCCCTCAAATCCCTCATCATCGTCGTCTCCATCCTCTTCATCATCATCGTCGTCCCCACGGCCGCTCCCTCTAGCGCCTCCACCTTCGCCGCCGACGAGAACTCCTCCGCAACCTCTGCCTCTTCCGCCTGCGACGGCGTCCACGTGCCTCTGTCTTGTCTGAGGTACATATTCTCACTCAAAGCCTCTGCATGTCTTGTTTCTATCTCAATCTTGTTTTCATATTAATGGAATGGAGATTAGTTCTCTTGAGGGTATTGCTAATGCCTTCTATTGACGTTATAAGGCTATTTTTGGACATAAGAGTCCTTCATAGGATTGATTTTACTTGGGAGAGGACTTCACCGCAATGTGTTTGGGGGCTGCATATCCTTAGAAATTTATTTTACTCTGGCTAATATTAAAGATGTTGTTTTTAGTACGAATGGAGATAAATCCCCTGGTCCAGATGGATTCTCTGCCTTATTTTTTTCAAGAGTTCTGGGAGGTTGCTCAACATGATATCTTTAATATTTTCACTGAAATTTTTTAAGGGAATTTGGATATTTTTAGGTTTAATTATGCTCATATCTTTAATCTTTTCACGAAATGTTTCTCAGTTAGATCACACTACCAGCATACAATCAATAGAAGGGGGATTAGATATGACTTTCAAGATGTTCCGAAAACAACTTCAAGTTATTGATTTTCTTTGTGGTAAAGGGTCGTTTGAGCACAAAACACGGATTGATTATGGGAAAAACATCTCTGTGAACCCTATCTGCGTGCTATGTGATAGACATAATGAAACACATGGTCATCTCTTAAATTCACTACGCTTCTGTATCATCCGTGTGGAATTCTCTTAAATTCAAATATTAATCTTAGTAGGTGGTCTTGCGTCCATTAAAGACGTATGGGTGTGCATCTTAAAATTCGCTACCCTTTTGTATCATCTGTGGGGTTATATAGACTGTGCACCTTTTCTGAGCTTCAATTCATCCTCACTTTCACCCAAACCAAAAAAAAAAAAAGGGAAAAGGAGAGAAAGGGCAACGGGAAAATTCATCCTCACTTTCACCCAAACCAAAAAAAAAAAAAGGGAAAAGGAGAGAAAGGGCAACGGGAAGTTAGAGGTTATAATTGCGATGATTGGTATTCCTTTGATGTCATCTTCTGTCACATAAAGCCACCTATAGATTAATGGATGGGAAAACATAAATTGACTGCACAAACGAGATTGACTAATTCCTGGTGACTAAACATGAGTTCTTTTTCACAAGTATTTATCCTGCTTAGTACCTTCCATACTTAGATTAATTGGAGATTTTAGGGAACCAAACGGCTTTTTTCCATAAGCAATTATCCTGTTTCTTGGCCTTTGCTTCTCCATGTTGTGTTTACACATTCCTTTATGTTTGTTGTTTCATTTGGTGTAAGACTATAGAAGCAATTACATCACATCTATTATAACTTCAAACCTTTCTTTATATGCACTAAAATGGTAATAGTTAAACGTTCCACGAGATTCTTTATATTGCATATGCGGAATTTAATCAGGTTTCTATTTCTTGAATTATTTTTAGGCTAGTCTTTTGCTTTGTTTTTCTCTCCATGGGAATTTAATCAGGTTTCTATTTCTTGAATTATTTTTAGGCTAGTCTTTTGCTTTGTTTTTCTCTCCATGTACCTCATGTTTTGTTCCTTAGGCTAGTCTTTTGCTTTGTTTTTCTCTCCATGTACCTCATGTTTTGTTCCGTTAAGTTGTTAGGAGGCGTTACTGATAAATCATTTTATTTAGGTTAGCATGGCCCTTAACTACATCAGAGATAAGGATTGGATGTACGTGGGTCGTGCAGAACGCATGCAATATATTTTTGTTAATGGAGTTAGTGCGTTCATGGACTTTGTTCATAGACACGATATGGTCCGACATGGGAGACTCATTTGTCCATGTAAATTATGCGCGAATAGGTTGTATCAACTGGAGGAAGAAGTAGAACTTCACATTGTGAAGAATGGTTTTGTTAGCGATTACAAAACTTGGGTATATCATGGAGAAATTAAAGGTCTCATTAATGCAGACGAAGAACAAGAAGAAGACAACTTGTTTCTCGATGAGGAAATGGAGGAAATGGTTGAGGTAGCTCTTGGTAACACTAACCCTGCTGAAGATCCTCCTTTCGGAGGAAGACATCATGAAGATAATTATGATAAATACATGAATGATGCTAGGAGGCATTATTTGGGTACCCACTCGTCATCAGTAGATAAGATCACCGGAGAGTATACATACCCGGACAACAGCACTAAGGAGTATTGCGTAAGTGTTTTGGATGAAATTTTAACTGCTTTTATGTTATAATCATACTTCTATTTTGTTTTGAAGATCACTTAATATTTGTGTTGTCCTTAAATTTTATGTCAATTGTGCTTGATGTTTAATGGGTTCTACACTGCTCAGTTGCCTGCTATATGCAAACAAAGTTTCATCTGATGCCATGAATGAATTTGTCCGTGCCATCATCAAAACTTTTTTTTTTGTTCTGATAAACTACCAAACGACAACCTCTACTGGAGTGTGGACTAGGGACCATATGACAAGCTTTCAAATCTCTCCACTTTCTGGCCGTAGCTAATTTTCTGTAGAACATCACTGAAGTTTATAATGCAGGATGGTGAAACATTTTACTGGAAGTAGGTAGCTCTCCAGTGTATGACTCCTGATTCTTTCTGCTGGAGCTTTAGTTGTAACCTTAAATAAGGATGGCTATAGCGTTATAGTTGGGCTTTTTGGGTGCAAGGCATTAACGAGCACTTGCAGTTTGCTGGCAGACGAGAAGAATGAGAATCAGCATTAGATAAAATGTGCATTATAATCATTTGAAGGATGTAAGTAGCCACTTTAATTCACGCTCCACCTGATTCAGACCAAGAGCTTAGATCAAGAGTAGACTACCAAACAAATATCACAAACATGGCACAAAAACTGAGAGCATTATGAGGCTGTCATCTTTTATTCACTCAACTACTTTGTATTCTACCACAGAACAAAAAGCAAATACACTGCAATCTTTAAAGTAAAATGAAATCAAGAGAACAAAACATTACTTCTATTCACAAGTGATAGGTCACAATTCTCCTCTTTGCATCCTATGCGAGTACAACCGGTCTCTTTTGAGCCCAAAGGACACGGAAAGATTAAAAGCGCATCCTATCGAGAAGTCGCTTAATCATTGCGCATGAGTTTTTATAATTTCTGGGGAAGAGAAGCTGCCATAGATCGCAACCTATTTGCAATATCTGAGAAGTTTGGCCTCTCAGCTGGTTCAGCTGCCCAGCATTGCTCCATCAAGGATCTCCACTCAGGATCACAAGTTTCAGGAATTGGAGGCCGCAGAGTATTGCTCACAATCCCACCTGTCACAGGACAAGAGAACAAAATATTTACTTCTATTTTAAATTATAGAAACCACTAGTTTCACATAAGCTATGAAGCTCTGAGGAGGGACAATGTGCCCTGTAATAGGCCTGGGATGCCTTACTACAACTGCCATGCTCTTCCAAAGGCCAACCCTTACACTAGGGGATGCAGTGTAATCACCGGCTACGCTCGAGGCGATTGATTCTTCCTCATTCACTAATCTTGCCTTCATGAACTAACTTAATGTATTCCTCTTTTTCTGTAGTGGTTGATTAATTTTTCAACTGCTTATAATGTATTATTATTACTTTTAATTTGTCTTATATATGCTATCATGTCTGTTGAGAACAATCATTGTGTATGATTTATATAATGATTAATTTTTCAACTGCTTATAATGTATTATTATTATTTTTAATTTGTCTTATATATGCTATCATGTCTGTTGAGAACAATCATTGCCTTATATATGCTATCATGTCTTGTTGACTTATATTTGAATACTTTGTATCGTGTAGGAGCAGGTCATCGAGAAGGCAACCTCATCAGGGGTCGGTTCAACCCCAGAGGACGATGCACTTTCCTTCACCCAGATGTTAGATTCCTTGCACGGAGGGCATCACGGTGGTTATGAAAGAGCCATGGGCATTGGTGTCACTCGGTCTTATTTAAGGGCCTCCTCTATACCAGAAATCGGCACTTCTAATCAGGAGCTACGTCGTGAGGTTGCTAATCTTAGAGCTCGGGTAGCTGAGATGGACAGTCTCAGGGAGGAGCTTAGGTCTCAGATGCATTGGATTAATAACAATATGGTACATATACTAATAATATACACATTCTCGCATACACATGTAGACTAGCATACACAAATATACATACATCTAATACTTATACACACATAAACACACGCTTAGATTTAATACTTAGTCGCGTATATACTCATCATACATTGCTATTACTTTATAGGTTAATTATTCGGGTGCTTGTCCTGCTCCCACTCCTAACGATACACCATCCTTTACTCGGCCTGGTCTAATTCCTCAGCCCGCTGCCGATATACGACATTCTGCTCGTCCTGCTTCAGCTACTAACACTTCTACTTCCAGTGCTCAAGGTTTATCACAGGAGAATCTTGTTAGAATATTTGCAAACTTGAGGCGTTCGGGTTTGTCCCATGAGGACATTCTTCGTGGAATTTCTTCTGTTCCTTGACTGGATTGATTAGACCACTTCTAATTTTATTTTGGACATTTGAGGCATTTTGGATGTTAGAGACACATATATAATATTAGATGTTTTTCATTGTGAGATATTGAGTAATCATTGCGTATGTATATGTTGTCTCTAATATTGAATATTGAGTAATTATTGAGTAATCAGTGGATACTTAGCATCGTTTGAGACTTTTTTGTGTATGTACATTTTGATTTCATTATGAGATATTGAGTAATTATTGAGTGAGATGTGTATATATAAACAGGTAGATAAATAAAGTAACCAAAATTTAAAATAAATATTAAAATAAACAGCCCAAACGGTTTGAACCGTTTGGCCATTTTTTCGCCCAAACGGTTCAAACCGTTTGGGCAAATATTCGCCCAAATGGTTTGAACCGTTTGGGCAAACATTAGCCCAAACGGTTTCAACCGTTTGGGCAAACATTTGCCCAAACGGTTTTGACCGTTTGGCAATTTATTACATCCCAAACGGTTGTAACCGTTTGGGAAAAATCCCAAACGGTTACAACCGTTTGGGATTTTGCCCAAACGGTTACAACCGTTTGGGTGACCGTTGGGGTAGGTTTTTCCCCAACGGCTTCAGCCCAAACGGTTCTTTTATCAGTCCAAACGGTTGTAACCGTTTGGGACTGTGTTTTCCCAAACGGTTCCAACCGCTTGGGCAGATCAGTTTTGTACTAGTGTTAGTGCATAGTTGAATCGATGATATCGACTCGTCCAGCTGCTGTTTGGAATATCGAGATGGATTTGTACAGGACTTTCGGGTTTTACAAGAAGTGGAGACCAAATGGAAGAGAGAGTGAAGTTATATGTCGGAAAAGACCATGTAGTAGTTTGAGATGTACTCATGTCCACATACACCAGCATTGGTTCCTCTATCTGTGTAAGTTAATGTAGAAATGTTAAAACAATCAATTGCTTTATGAATAGTTGTCTAATGTGTTGGGACAAACCCGGGACCCAATAGAGCAGGGTCGCAACAATTGTAGATGTCTAAAAATACCTATAGGTTCCCGCACGCGGCTCGATACAGAGAGAAGACGATGAATATCACTATTCAAGTCACATAAGCTTATTTGACATTGACAAGCGCATGAAGTGAGTCGACGAACCGTGTGAAGCAACGAAACTTCAGAATAACAAAAACATGAACTGATCAGGAGCTACGCGTCGCTTACGAAAGACAAAGCGCCCATCATGTCCCGTCTACTCCATATATTATTCAACCATGGGAGCTTATAGATCTTCTTGTTAGCTTTCCAACGTATATTGAATCGCGCGATTCCGGTTTCGGACGACGAAAATACGACGAAAAAGGACAAGACGCGCAGAACGGTGCTCAGGGCCAAAACCAAGACACCCCTTGGACACCCCAAGGTGTCTTGGCTTGGCCGAGACACCGCGAGCGTCCGTAGCCCCGAAAACCTGTTTTGAGCTATTTTTCAATCGTTAACCGTCTAGATTGGTTTCAACTGATAAAATATCATTCAAGAACGTGGTTAAATGGTTATAACTGAAGATAAGAGTGAATCGATCGTTCTTATTCGAAAACAAAGGTCCCAAAGCTTATAAATACGACCCCAGATCTGGAATTCTTGAGCATTGGCGAAGCCCTGCTGGATTGAAGACTGAAGGAGCACAAATTTCAGAAGAGAGGAGGAGATCGGATCGAGTTCGTCAGTATAAAGAAGAGGAGCTCGCCAGATCTACAGTTCCCGATCCTTCCCTTGAGATTGCCCCGTTGCGGTGATCTCGAGAAGAGTGATTCTCTCGCTGTTGTCGAGATAATTGCTTCGGTTTCTTAATTCCTTCGTGAATCAACGAAGCTCCGAATCTGATCTGATCGTTTGGTAGTCCACGGATATCAACATCCCCGTCATAGGCCAAGATCCCATGCAAGCAGTGGAGGATAAACGTCCGTTGCGTTTGTTTAAAAGGAAAGTTGTAATCTTTGTTGAAAGTCTTATAAAAAGACTATTTCTTTGAGTTTGTTATAAACGTTTAAAGTTGTAATAAACTCATCAATAAAGAAATCGATTTTCTCCCAAAACACTCATCAATGAATAAATCGATTTTCTCTCAAAACAAGCTGGCGACCACAATGGGAGCTAACAGCTTTGCTGCCGAAGCTGTTGTGTCGCAACCACGGATCCGGATCCCGGTTGAAAAAGAGGTCGATTACGAGTTTGACCAACAGAAGTTCGAGGAGTATCTATCGTCCTCCTCCTCCAGATCCTCCTCCACTCGTAAGCGCAGGAAGATCAACGCTCCCGTTGCTGCTGCAATCACGTCTCGCAACGTCCCTCCGGCCTCCAACGAGGCCGGATTTGTAGATCTAGACTCCTCCTCAATCAAGGAGATAGCCACTAGATCTGTGCTAATCCTATCGAAGAGGGCACGTCAAAGGCAATGTTAACGCCTCGCGTGCCAACTCGTTAAGGCTTTGGAGCCAGTGAACGGGATCTATTACAGGACGAATCTGAAATTTAGGGAACACTAAGTGCCCCAACAGTGAGCAAACGTCCCCTCCTCCAAATCATCAACAAGTGAATGGATCTAAGTCAAAAAGATCCGTTCAACTCTTGAGGAGCGAATCCAGAAGCGCTATGCACTACTTGCGCACGCGCGAATTCTTGTGCAAAAGGCACAAAAGATGCAGAAGAAGGACATAGCCAAGAAACAACCGAGACTGCATTAAACTTGGAGGTCAAAGTACGAAACAGCGGCCAAAAAGATAAAAAAACACGAGTACACCCAGATGACCCGCCCAGCCGCGGGTCACTCAAGTCTGACCCTCCAAGCCGCGGGTCACTCAAGTCTGACCCTCCCAGCCGCGAGTCACTCAGGTCTGACCCTCCAAGTTGCGGTTCACTCAGGTCTGACCCTCCAAGTCACGGGTTACTCAAGTTTGACCCTCCCAGTCGCGAGTCACTCAAGTCTGACCCTTCCAGCCGCGGGTCACCAGGGTCTGACCTGCGTCAGGGCCAAGACAGGAGACACTCTGCACCCGTTTTTCTAATTTTGTCAAGTTCTGCCCTTGCTCTGATTGATCCAATACTTCCAATAAAGCCTTGTGGCAGTGTAGACTTGTTTAAAAGCAAGAAGCCAACAGCTGATCGTCTGGGTCCTTTGCACAAGGATCGAGGCAAAGTTTCGATCAAAGAACGCTTGGGTTCGGTGACTGAACCCCGACCAACTACTCGAGCTGGGGGTCGCACACGCCCTTGCAACAAGTCAGAGCCTTTCTATAATAGAAAAACTCCTATAACTGACCGCCTCGGACTACAAGTCAGTATCTAAGAGCCCGTTAAGGTCCCGCGCTCACGAAAGTATGGCTCCAAATGTGTGACTCTTGAGAACGCCATCAAGGCAACAAGTCCTTAGAAGGAAACATGTTCGTCAGACAACGACATTATACCTAAGAAGTCATGCCAACACGTGATAGATTACTCTGATCATCATACCGATGAGTTGTACTATCGGGCTGGGGGTGCGAACAGACCTCGAAAGAGAGATTCCCGGGAGATAGACTTTCATTATCCGTGTACTAAGATAATCAGGACAGTGTTATCAGAATGTAGCTACCCCAAGACCACTCCGCAGAGGGTTTCGATATTTGAGAGGATCTCTAACAGAACGACTAAGTCCAAGCCAAAGCGTTTCCACAAGAAACGATCAGCCGTTCAAGGTGACGAACTTCCAGAAGTCACAATTAACATGGCTGATAAAGGAAAGTCGAATCGACCTTCTAGTTCTGACCCCCTCGTATCGTATCATCTAACTAGGCTACGCACAGGGACTACTAGACGTATGGATTATCAAAGAATGCAGATGAGATTATCCTCGGATGATGAAGCATCAGATGCCAACCCCGCAGTCGCTTCTAACAAAACAGTATCCAGTCCAGGACAATCCCACAAAGTATTTATGATTAATACCGAGGAAGTAGCCAAAATGGTTGAGGATGCTCTAGCCAAGAAGAAAGAAGCATTCAAAATCGAATTAGAAATGACCATGATGCGGATGAAGGAAGAGCATGACCAAAAGATTCGGGCTCTATCTAATAAACTTGGTGAATCTAGCCGTCGCAACATTGCTAATCAAGCAGGTAGCGATTCAGACGTGGACGAACATCTCGATGCTGATAACCCTCTTGTTGACCAGAACGCTAGGGGTGACCCCACTGAGAATAACGACGCCGGGGGTAGTCCTACCAATGATGATAACACTGGGGGTGGTCCCGTTATTCCTCTCAGAAATTGTCCAAAGCACGATACAAGCGAGGATGAGAAAATAAAGGACCTTGAGAGAAAAATCAACGCTCTGATGTCTACGCAAGAGGTGCAGAAGATCGCTATTCTGTGTCCTTACCCAAGAAAGTGGGATTCGATCGTATCTGGTGAAGTTTAACCTTATCAACTTCACGTTGTTTGACGGGAAGGGCTCGCCCACTCAACATTTGATCTACTTCAAGTCCCACTTAGGTATGATCTCCGGCAATGAAGCATTGATGGTTCGATCATTTGTTGGTACCTTTCACGGACCTGCCTTCGATTGGTACCGCCATCTCAAGTCCGAAAGTATCAACAACTGGGAAGACCTGGAGAGCATGTTCCTCGCTCACTTCTTTGATGATGACGCAGAGGTGTCAATCAGGACACTCTTCGATGAGAAACAAGAAGACGATGAGACAGTCGACAACTTCGTCAAGCACTTCCGGAATAAGGAGATGAACTACCAAGATCCGATCACAGAGGACTTCGTCCTCCAAACCTATCACAACAACCTCTCTTTAGACGTGTTAGAAGTTATGGGAGTAGCACCGTCCAATACCTGGAAAGAGTTGAAGATGCACGGAGAGCGAGCCTAACGTTTCCTCAGAAGGAAGCAAGCTGAGAGAAGCCAACCGATGGCTAATCCTCCGAACTCAAGCTTTGTTTCCAGTAGTAAGGGGAAGACACCTGCAGCAGTTGTTGATGTTAATCTGACATTGCAACAACAACCCCGAAGACAGCAAAAGACTTCGGATCCGAGACTCCAAAATGAGTACTCCTTCAAGGACGAACATGTTCCAGCCATTTTCGAATCTCTCCTTGAGAACAACAAGATCAAGCTACCAACTATCGCAAATCAAGAGGAAGTTGATAATACTGTGGATCCAAAGT